TCTCCCCGCGGCTGGGCCTTCCCCACTGGTCAGGGGAGCCGCCCCTTCGGAGTCAGGCCCCGCAAGGCCAGCAGGGCTGCCGCTCCCTCAGACTGGGAGAGGGGCCCCCAAAGGCCAGGGCCGGGGCTCCCCTGTCAGACTAGGGGCTACCATTCCTTCTGCGCTCCCTCCCCTGCCGGCAGATCAACACCAACCTGGGTGACCTGCAGTTCTTGGTCATCGACCTGGTCATCACCGCCACAGTGGCTGTGCTCATGAGCCGCACGGGGCCGGCGCCGGTGCTGGGGCGGGCGCGGCCGCCGGGGGCCCTGCTCAGCGTGCCCGTGCTGAGCAGCCTGCTGCTGCAGGTGGCCCTGGTGGCCGGCGTGCAGCTGGGGGGCTACTTCCTGATGCTGGCCCAGCCCTGGTGAGTAGGGGACCCACCCCCAAGCCCCCCACCCACCCCGTCCTCCACGAGCACGTTCCCTGACCCCTGGCCCCCGTGCCCGCAGGTTCCAGCCTCTGAACCAGACAGTGCCCGCGCCGGACAACCTGCCCAACTACGAGAACACAGTGGTCTTCTCTCTGTCCAGCTTCCAGTACCTCATCCTGGCCGCAGCCATGTCCAAGGGGGCGCCCTTCCGCCAGCCGCTGTACACCAACGGTGCTGTTGCGTGGTGGGGTGGGGAGGGCGGGCGTCGGGAGGGGCGGGGTGGGGGGGTCCCAGTGGGCCAGTGTGTGAACATGCAGGGCTGCTCTGGCCTGACAGACTCTCCCCTGCAGTGCCCTTCCTCGTGGCCCTGGCGCTCTTGGGCTCCATCCTGGTGTGCCTCCTCCTGGTGCCCGGCGTCCTGCGGGGGCCGCTGACACTGAGCAACATCAGCGACACCTGCTTCAAGCTGCTGCTGCTGGGCTTGGTGGCCTTCAACTTCGTGGGGGCCTTCTTGCTGGAGGTGGGGCCCGCTGCGGCGAGGGGCTGGGGGGGCTGGAGGGGGGCTGGGCCACAGCTGCCCCCTCCCCTCTGTGCTGTTCCTCTTCTCTGCAGAGTGTGCTGGACCACTGCCTCCCAGACTGCCTGCGGTGGCTGCGGCCCAAGGGCGCCTCCAAGAAGCGTTTCAAGCAGCTGGAGCAGGAGCTGGCTGAGCAGCCCTGGCCGCCGCCCACCGGGCCCTGGAGGTAGTGCGTGCACGCTGGACCCCGGATCTCCCTTCCTCTGAGCCACGGACTGGGCCCCGTCTCCAGAGACACCACCGCCAGCCCTGCGCTTGGTGGTCGTCACACTCTTGCCCCAAGTCTGCCCAGCACAGCCCCCCCTGCCCCCACTTGGGGAAAAGCTAACTTTTGTCCCCTTTTCAGACACTCCACGTAGAGACAGCAGCCACCAACCAACCCCACTCAGAGATGCTGTCAACGTAGCAAATAAAATCACTATTTTACTGGCTTGGTCGTACCTGTTTCCCGCCCGGTACTGCTGAGCCGGCTGCCCGGCTGGCGGAACCTGTCTCGGGTCTGCTCCTGGCCTCCCCCGCTTTTTGATAGTAATGCTTCCGGGTTGAGCTTGTGCCTGGTGCTCTGCTAAGCATTTTACAGCGTTGTCATTTAGTCCTCGCAGCGACTGTAGACTACTGTCCCCATTTGACAGATCCAGAAACTGAGGCTTAGAGGTCACACGAGTGGTCAGAGGTGGGGCCAGATTGCTTTGACTCCGGTGCCTGCTATCTTAACCTTGCTGTAGTGGGGGGTGGGGCAGACAGGCAAAGGACTTGCATCAGACCCCCCAGGCAGGTGCCAGTGCCCAGGAGGCATGTGACTGGGGCCGTTCCCTTTCCCCTGCTCACCCCTCACATCCCGGGACGAGTTTGTGGCCCACTCACTTCCTCCCTCGGACGAAAATCCAGGCTCTGTGCACACTCTTCCTGTCCAAAACCACATGCACTGTCCCTGTCCGGGCACGTGGCGGAGCCCTGCACCGTCATCTGGCCCGTCTGTGCTGGGCAGCGGAGACCAGGAATCAAGGCCGATTCCTGCCCTCAAGGGCCCCACCAAGCTCGCTCTCGGAAGCCCCGGCGTCACCCCCAGCCCTGCCCCTGTAAGAGGTCGGTAAATGTAGACTCAGACTGAGGTCGAGGGGCATGGGTGTGAGAAGGTAACTCATAATAGGCACATCCACAGACCTGCACTGGGTTCTCAGCCATAAGCCAGCAACAGTTCGGGGTGGTGATGGTTGCTGTTCAAGGGGAGTCAGAGGGCACCGTGAGAGGCCTGGGTTCGAATCCCTCCTCCACCTTTAGCTGATGATTCATGCGTTTATTGGGCAGTCATGTGCCCGGCAGAGGGGCTGCAGCGGTGAAGGAAAGATGGCCTTTGCCTGCGTGCGGCATGTAGCCTGGGGTGAGAGGCGGGACGGTCGGGGAAGGGGCAGACCTCTAGAGGGCACCCACACCCACTGCCCCTCCCTGAACAGCCGCCACCTCTGCTCGGGTCCTTAGGGCCAGGGGCGTGTGGAGGAGCAGCAAAGAGAGATCTAGAAGCTAGGACACAAGAGTGTGAGGTTTGGGGCCTCAGTTTCCCCGTTTGGTCAAGAGTAGGGGGCAGGATTCCTGCCCAGCTGTTTCCTCTCCTACCCTAGTGGGATTGTGCCCGGTAGCAGTGAGGGGATAAGGGAGGGCACAGGGACTGGGCTGGGCTGGCCCTTGGAGCCTGTAGCACTGTCGGCGACAGAAGCCCCTGCTGATCCGTGATAGACACTGGGCAGGGAAATGGCAGGTGCTCATTCATTTCACAGACCAGCACTGGGGGGAACAGATGCTGTAGGGACACACAGCAGCCTCCTCCCCCCCATCACGCACAGGGACGCACTCCAACACCGCCAGTGGGTCCTGGAGCCACAGAGAGCACCAGGCCCCGTGTACACTTTTTTCCTGGACATACCTGCGACAAAGTTTAACTGTAAATCAGGCATGGTCAGAAATTAACAATAACTAAAACTAGAACAATTCATTACCATAATACGAGTTACGCGAATGTGGCATTCGGAAGTAAAATAAGGGTCACCACTTGAACACAAGTGCTGAGGTGCTGTGACAGATAACTCACAGATGACAGAGATGGCTGCCGGGGGACCAACGGGCCGGAGCACGTGCAGCGTGGGCACTCTGGACAAAGGGGTGACTCACATCTGGCCGGATGGAGATGATCTGAGATTTCATCACGCTAACTCAGAACGGTGTGCAACTTAAAACGTATAAATTGTTTACTTCTGGAATGTTCTATTAACTATTTTCAGACCGCAGAGTTCCGTGGGTAACTGAAACTACGGAAAGCAAAACCACAGATAAGGGGCGACTGCCGTATTTACTTCCTGGCTAATAGGATTCAGAGGCCAAGAGACAAGCAGTCATGGGGAGCAGGACCCAGCAAGGAGGCCTGATGGTGAGGACCTGAGTTGAGGGGGCATGCCAATTGCCCCCTCCCAGCTGCAGCCCCCTGCCTCAGGCCCTTGGGAGCTCAGGCCCAGGCTCCCAAGACTAGGCAGGCCTGGCTGGCGTAGCTCAGTGGATTGAGCATGGGCTTCGAACCAAAGCATCGCAGGTTCGATTCCCAGCCAGGGCGCATGCTTGAGTTGCAGGCCACGGCCCCCAGCAACCGCACATTGACGTTTCTCTCTCTCTCCCTCCCTTCTCTCCCTAAAAAAAATAATAATAAATAAATAAAATCTTAAAAAAAAAAAAGACCAGGCAGGGCTGAGGACTGCCCCAGAGGCAGGGCACCTGCATCCCCCCCACCCACCCAGTCTCTCCAAGAAGAATCCAATGTACACTCATTCATTCATTCCACAAATGTTCGTGGGAGAGCTGCTGAGCAAGGCATTGTGCCTAATGAGCAAAATGTGAGGATGAGCAAAAACAGACCTCGTCCCTGTCTTCACATGGTTGACAGGCTAATCAAACGATCCCACAGACACAGGACAGCATGCCAGTCATGAGCAGCAAAGCAGAAGCAGCTTTGGAGCCTGCCTGACGGGAAGAAAGGGAAGGCTTCTCTGAGGAAGGGAGCGTTGGATCTGTAACCGGAAGGAGGTAGACCTCACCAGTGTTCCAGGAGGAAGAAAAGCTTGAGCAAAGGCCCTGTGGCCGCAGAGAAAGGACTTTAGTGAGAGAATGCCGGAAGATCACATGGCCGCAGGGAATAAAGAGGCAAAGCCAGACTGGGATGAAGGGTAGGGCTCTTGGGGGCCACAGGGAAGCTGAGCCTGGAGCCCAGATACATGGAAAAGGAGCAGAGGCTTTAAGTGGAAGGGGGCCAGTGTCTGAAGTGGGCCAGGAAGGGCAGGGACCCCTTGAGAAGGCCCAGATTGGAAGTCACAGAATCCAGGCAATAGATGGTAATGGCAGCCCCAGCTGGGTAGGTCAGTGGTTAGAGCATCGTACTGCTACACTAAGGCTGTGGGTTTGATCCCTGGTTGGTCGGGGCACATACAAGAATCAACCAATGAATGCATCAGTAAGTGAAATAACTGATCTCTCTCCCTCTCTCTCTAAGTCAATAAGTTTTTTAAAAAAAACTTAAAAGAGATGGTGGTGGCTTACCACCACGAGGGCAATGGACAGACTCAAAAAAGATACTTTGGAGGCAGAACGGGGGACTGGGTGCTGGATCGGATGGATGCAGGGGCTGCTGGCAGGAGAAGCCTGAGTCCTGGGAGGACCGTGAGGCCACCGAATGGGAACACCTTCCGGGGCCAGGCCTGGGAGAGGGTCCCGGGGTCCTGAATTGGGACTCGGATCCCTGATGAATATGTATGCCTTTGGGGACCTTGGTGGGGCCAGGCCTTGTAGGCTGGAGCCCGAGGCCTGAAAGAAAGGCTGGTTATGGAAGCCAGTGGCAGCCCGGAGATGACTAAGAAGACCCAGAAGTTGCAGCCAAAGAGGCAGGAGGAAAATCAGGCCAGACAGGGTGTCCTCGAAGCTGGGAGAAGCCAGAGGGGAGCGCAAGGCTTACTTCCAGCTGAGCGGCCCTGGGTGAACTCCCTTATGAGCCTTGGTTTCCTCCTCTGTAACATGGGGTAGCTCGGCCGTCTCACCCACCTCACCACTGACTGCGGGCCAGAAGCGACGCGGGGAGGAGGAGGAGACGTTCTGCACGGTAAGCGTGTAGGGCCCACTTGACGATGGCTCCGCGGGCGCCCCCAGGAGCCGGTGCGGACCCGAGGGCAAGGCGGCCCTAGTGGCGGCTCTCGCGTTAGGACCCAGCGGATCCAGGGCTGGAGGGCGGGCGCCAGCCCGTCGGGGGCCCCGAGCGGGGCTCGCAGCGGGCAAAGGGGCGGCTCCGGCGGGCGGACTCGGAGCGGAGTGACCCGGCCAGGTAGGCGAGAGCCTGGCTGCGGGACTCCGCGGGCAGCCCTCGTGGGACCCGGGCCGCGGGCAGGGAGGGGCGGTGCGGGGCTCTGCGTGTCCCCGCTCCTGGGGGCGGCTGCCAGTGTCCCCGAACCCCGGCCGTCTGAGCAGATGCTAAGAGGCCACTTAGAAAGTTTGGGATCGCTTTGAGAGGAGGACGCGGGCCGGGAAGGGAGAGGAGCCCGAGTTTGGGGGGGGCCAGAAATAGGGGCGTCGGGGCTGGGGGCGGCTTTTGTTCTCCCTGGGAGGTTGGAATGCGGCGGGCGGGCGGGGGGGCGGGGTGCGGCGGGAGCCCCGAGACGCGGAGAGACAAAGGGAGATCAGAGACCGGGAGAGCGCGCCGGCCGCGGCTGATTGTTCCCAGCTGTGCGGGCCGCCACATCTGGTTTCCTCCCGTCCGACCCCGGCCCGGCCTCCGCAGCGCCTCCCTCGGAGGGAGCGTGGGCAGGAGGCTCTGGGAAGGGCCCGCTCGGCCCCCTCCCACGAGGAACGCAGAGGGGAGCGGTGTTGCGGCCGCGGGCAGGTCCTAGGTCTCCCCCACACCCCGGAAATCCATAGTCGAGAAGTGCTTGGAGCTGTTCCCTGGGTCAATTAATTACTCCCACGGGACTCGCCTCTTTACAAGCACTCCCCTTGCCCTAGGGGCCCCTTTGCCCAGGAAGCCTGGGCCTGGGTGCCAGACCTTCTGGGGAGGAAATGACTAGACTCCGTTGGGGGGGCTAAGAGGCCAAGGAGGGGCTTTGGAGACAGAGGTCACCCCACTCATAAACCCCTTAGGCCCTGACTCAGGGCTGCCTCCTAATGTGCCTGGCTGCTATCAGCCCCCAGGGATGGGGATGAGGACCCGAGAGCGTGACCCCGTAGGGAGCTGCAAGGAAGGAGGCCCAGGTCTTTCAGCCCCATCCGGGGCTGAGCCAGATGTCCCTAGCCTGAGGGGCAGCTTGAGTCCTGAGTCTCATCTTCCGCACTCACCCTGTCCCACCTCAGTGTCCTCGCCCGCCCCTCGCAGCTGCCTGGAGTGTTCGGGGAGGGAGAGAGATGTTGAATGCAGGAGGTGGACAGGGGTCACAGAAGTCTCGGGACTGGGGAAAACGAGGGCAAGATGCCCGCTTCTGCCTCTTTCCTTTCTTCTCGCTTGACTCCCCCCAGGGGAAATGTGTCAAAGTTAGGCTTCCAGTTAGCTGTGGGGAAGAGCTCCCCGTGCTGTGGCAGGGAGGGGGCGCTCCTGGGTAAGTGAGCCCGTGGGCCCCTTCCCAGGCCTCCCAGCAGACGGCTGACTATTTGCGGCTGCCCTCCGCTGAGCTGGGCCCGGACCTGGGGACCTGGAGACTCGGCCAAGTCCACTGTGGGGCCAGCAGCCAGACGCTGGACTCAGCCAGGAGTTCTGAAACTTCCAGAGCCTGGTGAGAGCCATGGAGCACTGCTCTGTCCCCCCAGAACTACATATGCAACACTTTCCATACCATGTCGGGGGGTTCAGCACCCCTAGGTTGGGTGACATCATGGTTCCCTCCAGCACTGCCTTCCTAGGAGCCAAAGAAGCCCTCCTCAGACTCCACCCTAAGTGTTTCCTGCTGCTGCAGACAAACAGACCACAGTCTCGTGAGTCTGATGCACAGCCAGGTCTTGGGAGGCCTGGCAGGAGAGGGATCTTCTGGGGGTGGGAGCCCTGCCCAGGCCTGGCTGCCTGCGGGGGCCCTGGGGCCTGCGCATGCATGTGGTTTCCTGCAGAAGGACGATGCTCAAGGCCCAGGGGCTAATTGGGAGCAGGTGGTGGGTTTGGCAGACGCCACTGAGCGGGCTGTGATGTTGGCTGGACAGGGCTGGGGTCCCAAGGATGGGCCCCGGCCGGGGTCAGGGATTTACATGCTCGGTGTACTGGGCACCTAGGGAAGGTGCTGAACCAGAGCTGAGCGTGGTGGTGGACCAGGAGAGCAAGGCCAGGGCTGGGAGGGGGCTAGAAATGTCCCCTGCCTGAGCAGGGCAGGTAGGGTCTGCTCTCCATCAGCCCTGGAGCCACGTGGGAGGCCTTGTCCCTCAGGGCTTGAGCCCTCGGTGAACCATCAGGTTCCCTTTGAAGGGACAGCAGATGTCCCTTCAAAGCAGTGCCCTCTCCAGACTCTGGGCCCTCCCCATGCATTGCTTCTATTCTGAGTGACTCCTTGTCCAGGCTGAACTTGGGAGCGGAGGTGGGCTCGGCAGTCCCGGCTCAGTGGGCCTGGGATGCGGTCTGACCCCCTCCCTTCTCCCAGCTGCCTGACATCAGCCCAGCCCGCTTCACCCAGTGGCCATGAGAGCTGCCTACCTCTTCCTGCTTTTCCTGCCTGGTGAGTGGCTCACGGAGGTGGCGTGGGGGGTCCCCTCACGTGGGTGAGAGTGAGGGTGTGGGGGAGGGAGATGGCGGTGGGCCTTTGTTGTGCCCGATGGCCAGAGCTCAGGTCCCCATGTCCCAGGGCCTCCTGCCTGCTGGAGCACAGACTGGACTAGCCAGCCCCTTCCAGGGTCTGCGGCATTTCCTGGGCTCTCACCCCACCGTCCACGGCCGCAGACAGGCAGCGTCCTGGAGAATGGGCACACACACGCAGGCGCGGAAGGCCACACTTTGCGGCTCACTCCGTCACCCTCCCAGGAGCTGACGTGTAGGGAGTTGAGGGTACCAGAGGCATGGAGTCTAGACCCATTTGGGGCTCCACCACCCTGTACAGTCTGGACCTTGGAGGGGTCCCTGGTGGTCAAGTGAGAAGTCATCAATGGGGATCAAAGGGCCCGGCCAGGTTCAGCCTGCATCTTTGAACAGCCGTCTGTTGAGCTTCCACTCTGCGCAGGCACCAGTGCGGCCGAACGCAGGGCCGGCCGCCCGCCGCTGCGAAAGCCAGCACTCGACGAGAGGCAGGTGCTGACGTCAAGGAAAGCAGTTTATTTGCAGATGCTGGGCATCTGGAAGAAGGGGGACCCGCGTCTCAAAGCACGGCCCCACATCTCAGTGGAGGCAGAGGCGTTTATACGCAGGGCGAGGGGAGCAGACAGGGGTCAAGGGAGGGGTTGCAAAGCTCTCTACATGCAGACGAGCACAGTCCGTTCCGATGCGGCACGTGGCGGTCCGGTCGGTGCGCAGCATCCTGGCTCCACGTCATCCTGGCTCCATGGTTGACAGTCAGCACATCTCCTGGAGCCGGGGTGCCTGAAGGTCAGGATCAGCACCTTCCAAAGTCAGTTCCTAGGATTCTTAGACACGCATGCTGTTCATCTACAAGCCGCATACTAGTCAGAGTCAGCACTTCCAGAAACGATGTCAAAGGAAGAAGCGTGGTGGGGCGGGTCACAATTTTCCACCGTTACAGTTTTCCACTGTTAGATACCCTTGGCGGGGCCCTCAGGACAGATACCGCGAAGAACCGGGCAGACAAGTCCCCACCCTCCTGGTGCCGCCAGTCTAGGCAGGGGAGGGCCGTGTTGATAATGGCCAGTGTGCTGAGTGCTACGGTGGGAATACCAGGAGGATGGGAACGGCAGGAGGGGGGCCAGCGAGCGCCTCTCAGCAGGGCTGACATCTTGAGACCTGAAGAAGGTGACCGGATCACAGGCCTAGGGAGAGTCCGGTGCCCAGGTGGGGGGACAGACAGGAGAGTGCTGAGGGCCAGGATGCCAGCGTGGGGGGAGGAGTGGGGGGTATGGCCAGGACAAGGTCAACGAGGGGACACAGGACCAGGAGTTTGCGTGAGGGCCCTCATGGTTAAGGGATGCGTTTGCGTCCTGAGGGTCTTTAAGCGTCTGGTCGTAGGGATCTTAGGGTTTCGCAAGCCTGCCTCTCCGGGAGCAGCTCCCACCCCTGCTGTCCCCGTGGGACACCCCCTATTGCTTCGTCTCCCCACAGCAGGCCTGCTGGCTCAGGGGCAATATGACCTGGACCCACTGCCGCCGTTCCCAGACCACGTCCAGTACCCCCATTACAGCGACCAGATCGGTAAGGCCTTGTCCCCCCGCCCGGCCCTCCCAGCCCTGCCATGTCATTAAGGCCTGGCTCCCCAGACGTGCAAAGGCTCAGCCAGGGACCCGGTGGGGTTAGGTGATGGGGGTCAGGGTGGGGTGGAGGGGGGCGCTCCTGGCTCAGTCGTGACCTCCACTGCCCCTGGAGCTGGGAACCAGCCTGCCCGCTACCGCCCCCCCCAGCTCCACATTCACCTCTGTTTTCAGACACCCCGGACTACTATGACTACCAAGGTAAAGGGCGGGGGCTGCGTAGGGTGGGCGGACACCTAGGCAGGTGGGCGGCGGGCAGGGCAGGGCAAGGAGAAGACCCCCCATCACGTCCTGTGCAGAGGCCACTCCTCGGCCCCCCGAAGAGCAGTTCCAGTTCCAGTCTCAGCAGCAGGTCCAGCAGGAAGTCATCCCGGCCCCCACCTTCGGTAGGCCGCAGGCCCCAGTCAGCCCTGGGGGTGGCGGGGTCGGTGCCGGGGCTGGGAGAGGGGACCCAACCCTGCCCTGAGAGGGCCTCTCTCAGTGGCCTCTGCCTGCCCCTCTCCCAACACCAGAGCCAGGAAACGCAGAGACGGAGCCCACGGAGCCTGGGCCTCTTGGTAAGAGATTTCCCGACAGCCTGAGAAGCAGGCACAGCCCCTGAGGTCAGGGCAGAGCAGGGCGGGACGCTGGTGGGACAGACTGCCAGGCCCTGGGCTTTGGCCCAGGTGGGAGGTAGGATGGGGGGCTTGCCGAGGTGCCCCTGCTTTAGGCTGCCAACCCAGGGCCCCCTGGGCAGCTTTGGGAGATCCCCCTGACCCCCTGGGCCTGGCTGGAGGCTGAGTTGGCTGCAGGCTTGGGAGGGGCCCCCTGCTTCCAGACGCTGGGGACAGGGAGTGTGCTGGCAGGCAGGTGACCAGGGAGCAGGAAGCCCGGGCTGGCTGAGCGGGTCCCAGGCTGCCCCAGCCAGGAGCCCGAGAGAGCAAGACTATGACGGGTCCTGTCTCCCCCCCAAGAGCTCAGTGCGGTGGTGTGTGCGCCTGTGAGGTCGGCGTGGACGACTGCGACCTTGTGTGCGGGTGTGGATTTGGGTTTGAATGGATGTGTGTTTGAGACATGCTCCTGAGTGCAGTTGTGAATTAGTGTATGTGTAAATGCACTGCGTAAAATCAGGCAGCCTCAGTTCCAACAACGCCGTGTATGCATGTATTGCACATGTATCTGTGTGTGCTGGTGTGTTTGTGGGGGCGGCATGGGCTAGACCAGGGGGTGCAGGGCTTACCTAGTCCCTGAGATGAGAGCCAGTCTCTGGTGGGCAAGGTTACAGGCTACCTGCCCCCCCGTCTGGGCCCTAAGCCTCAGCCCCCCAGTCTGATCCCCCTGTCATCCAGACTGCCGTGAGGAGCAGTACCCGTGCACCCGCCTCTACTCCATCCATAAGCCCTGCAAACAGTGTCTCAACGAAGTCTGCTTTTACAGGTGAGCACAGGCCGGCCGAGGCGGGCAGGGAGCAGAGGGGGACCGCCCCAGCCGGCCCAGGTGGAGTCTGGGGAAAGAGAATGAGTCCTGAAGCTGAGCTCGGCCCTGGTTGAGCCCTGGCCTGGGGGTTGGGCCTCCAGGGCTCCAATGCCAAGTCCTGTCCTCCGGGCTCTCCCAGCGGGGCTGGGTGGCGGTGGGGCTGACCCTGACCCTTCCCCTGGCCTCGTCCCCCCAGCCTCCGGCGAATGTACATCATCAATAAGGAGATCTGCGTCCGCACCGTGTGTGCCCACGAGGAGCTCCTCCGAGGTAGGCAGCCTGCGCCGCTGCCCTCCCCCTGACCCGGCTCACTCAGTGTGCACCCACCTGTCCACGTGTGTGAAACACGGGTCACGTGCGGGCGTCACGGCCAGGGGACCCTGAAATCACCCAGCCCCACCCTGACCCCATCTCCTTTCTGCGCCCCCAACAGCTGACCTGTGTCGGGACAAGTTCTCCAAATGCGGTGTGATGGCCAGCAGTGGCCTGTGCCAGTCCGTGGCGGCCTCCTGTGCCAGGAGCTGTGGCGGCTGCTAGGGCACGGCTGGCACCCAAGCCCCGGCCCCTCCTCAGACCTGGGGCCTTCAGGCCCCACCTGACCTGGTGCTTTCCTCCCCGGCCTGACACCCCTTTTATCTGATAAAAAGTTAGTGGGCTGTGGCCAGGGGTTGTCTCGGGCCCCTCCCTGGCCTCTGGCCGCCCCCGAGGCACAGTGGGGCTCCCCACTGCACAGTCTTCGCCCCCAGGAGGGAGCTCCCTCCCCTGGCCTCTCAGCGGGGCCTGTGCCTCCTCCGTCCCTCTGAGGTCAGTCCCCGGCCCCTGAGGTAGGCTGTGCCCCTCGCCCCAGCTGGTCTGCTTGGACTCCCCACAGCCCCCGGGCACAGGCCACCTCTGTTTTCTACAAAATTAAAAACAAGTTTTTACGAAAGATTCAGTCGTTTTTCAGAGACTACACATCGGGTGGCCAGGTGCCTCCACCACTGTCCGTCCTGTCCGAGAGAGAGGCTCCTGGTCTCTCAGGAAGGGACTGTCCCGGCGACCTGCTCTTTGCCCCCGCCGTCCAGCCCTGCCTCTGCACCCACCGACCTCCGCTCCGACCTGCCGGAGAGGTGGGCCATGACCGCTGACCTCGGGGCCACATCCCAAGTGGAGGGTTCAGGAGTCAGGACCCATCCCCCGTCACCAGAGGGGTACAGGCCAAGGCGGGAGGCTACCAGTATGGAGGCGTAAGGGTGAATGTAGGGTACAAGGTGGAAGGTCAAGGTAGGTGGACTGTGAGGTCAAGGCCCCGGGTGGGAGGCGGCGGGGCTGCTGTTCGGAGAGGGCAGAAACAGGGCAAGCTGATGGGGCACCTCCGACCAGCCCGTGGGTCCAGGCTCCACGCAACTGTCCCGCACCATCCATTTCACCTTCCAAACAGGCCCGTGTGGTGGGGACGTCACGTGCGCATCCCCCCAGCGGGGAAACGAAGTCCGGAGGCACGGAGTCACCCACCCGAGCTAGGGTCCACGGCTAGAAGGGACAGAGCTGGGCAGACCCTGGTCCTGTCGGAGTCCGTCCATCCCTCTTGCCCCAGGCCCCACCTGCCTCCCCTCCCCTCCACCAGGGGGACGAGGCACACGGATAGTAAACAGACACATCTGTACAAAACCATTTCTAGAAAACGGGGTCTTGTTATAAAAAACACAAACAGTTCCGAACAGTGAACATTATGAAAAGGTATAAAAATACAGGGATTCTGAACTCTGAGGACTTTCCTGACAAACATTCTGAACTAAGGCAAAGAGGCCTCTGGGAAGCCAGGGCGGGGCCTGGGTCTCTGACCCCTGCCCGAGGCCCAGGCACCCCTCTGCCTTCCCATCAGCCTGTGCTCCGGGGGCCTGCTCCAGGGCCGGCCACGGACACCAGGGTCTCCCTGACCCCTGGCTTTGGCTCAGCCACGCAGCGAGGATCGTGTACAACCGGAAGTGGCTCATCTGGGGAGGGACACCGGACCAAGGTGGGGCCCACAGACGGCGGGGGGGCTCCAATGATGCTGGAAAGGTGGTGCTGGGTCTGGTCTGGCACCGGAGTCCCCGCTTCTCGGAACTGCCAGCCCGGCTCCTCCTCACCCTCATTTGAGCTCCAGGGGCCCTGACACGCTCAGGCCCCTGGCTGGACTGTTCTGGGGAGGAGGCCTCTCCCCTGCCCTGGCCACCAGCGGGGAAGGGGCTCATTTCTCTGGGGACCCAGAGGCGGGAGGGAAGGAGGCCGAGCTCCTTCGAAGCTCCTGCTGCAACTGTCCCTTCAGGGTGGACACCTGGAGGAGAGAGAAGGTAGCGCCGGTAGAGCCAGCCCAGGTCCTCAGCCTGACTTCAGAGAAAAGGGGGTGACTGCAGCCGGGACCCCAGGAGGGACCAGTGCTGCCTGTTTTGGGCAGATGCAGGTCTCATGAAGAACCAGGGTGTTTTCTTCCCTCCTCATTCTGGTCCGTGGTATAGTCAGGTGTCCTCTGACTGCACGGTGTCTCTTTGGGGACCACCCTATCCCCACCCTCATCACTCAGACAGGCCTGGCACTGGCCTGACCCCCGGGGCGGACCTGTGACCCAGGCCTGGCTTGCCAAACCAGCCTTGCCCTGTAGACATGATAAGGTCGGGGGGGATCAGGAAGGGGCCTGGAACTGCAGCTGGCCAATGAGAAGCATCCCTGGGACTTTTGCTGTTGCTCTCAGAAAAAAGCCTCCCCCCTTTCCTCTGGGATCAAGGGTTGTTGGGATAACCTGAGGCTGGGGCTGCGGAGGCCGCCTGTGCTGCCCCGGGAAAGGGCCTTCCTGGAGCCAGAGGAGAGCAGAGCCATGGCCAGGGGACTGGGTTCCAACGGTATCACTTAAGCCCGTGTTCAGCCATGGTGGACACCACCTGGCCATTTCAGTTTCCAGTGCCACAGACTGCTTGTACCCAAGAGGTCACACACAGGCCTCCCCCACCCCCCTTCCTCCCTCTCCAGCTTCACACTTCCCTCCCGGCCCAGCTGCCCAAGCTGGTGGGGGAAGGGACCCGCTGGCTCTGCAGCCCCCAGGGGAGGGGCCGGAGCCCGGTCAGGCCTCAGTACCTGCTCCTCCAGCCCACGCACCCTCTGCTGGTGGGCCCGCTCCCGCGCCTCCAGGGTGCGTTCCGTCTGCACCTGGGCACTGCGCAGGCGCTCCACCTCCTGCTGCAGCTCCAGCTGTTGCTGCTCCTCCGCCTCCAGCCGGGCCGGGCTGTGGTCCTGCTCGAGCACCACCACCTGGGCCTGCGGGGGAGGGCGCTAGTCTGGAGTCTGGCCCCACATGTGTGCACGCACGCCTGTGCGCAAGGAGGAGTTTGGCACCTCCCCAGGGTGGGAGCCTGGGGGCCTCACAGCAAGGCCAGAGCAGGCAGGGGATGCAGAGGGAGCTTTGAGATCCCGTTTGTTCCGACCCCACCCCCGCCCTCCTGGCCTGCAGTTATGGTACCTAGTGACCCCTACTCACACACACACACACAGATGTACTCAAATGCAGGCCCATACACAGGTGCCAAGGCAAGCATGTGAGTGCTTGTGTTCACATGGGTGCACACATGTGCCCAGAAGCCTAATATCCCTACATACATGAAGACACCTGTACACAGACACGCACACAGATCTACCATATTCTTAATACTCAGACTTGCCACACCTGTGCAAAAGGTTCACGCACAAGAATTCTCTAAGGAACACTCATGCCTTCCACGTCCACGACACACATGAACACACAGGCTCAGGCGCTAACCCGCCATTAGCAGCTCTCTCCTCTGCACTCAGGAGAGCACCCCCCCATCTGACTCTGAGCTGCCCGCCCCACGCCCCCACCCCAGGGCCTGGGCTCACAGCCTGTGGGCTCTGGGCTGGCTGAGCTATCAGCAGTGCCTGGGACAGCCTGGCCCTCTGGCTAGGGTGAGGGTGGGGGCGTGGGTTAGGGGGACAGCAGGGGTCCAGGGCTGGGACCTCTAGCAGCTGGATCTGCCTCTGGGCCTCAGCCAGCTCCAGCTCGGCCCCCGTGAGTGTCCGGTCCAGGCGGCCCTTCTCTGCATTCAGCCGCACCGTGTCCTCGTGGCTACGAAGCTTCTCCCGCTCTACCTGGGTGGGGAGAGCAGGAGGGGAGCAGGGTGCCTGGGGTGGAGGGGGGTCTGCGAAGGGGGGTGCTCTGGGAGGGGTGTTAGAGTCGAGGCAGCGGGACCAGGGGTACCAGAGGCTCCCAGGCCCTCGTGATGTGCAGCTGGGACCGGCCACGGCCAGGACCTAGACAAAGTGAGGGAAGGGCCCCGGGGAGCAGCCCACCTTGTCCAGTGTCCTCCTGAGAGCCACCCGGTCCTTCTCCAGCCGCAAGGCTGACCGCTCCACCTCCCGCTTCTCCGTTTCTAGCTGAGCCAGAGCGCGCTGCAGGCCGGCCAGGCGCTCCTGCAGCAGCCGCCGCTCGTCCTGCAGCTTCTGCACCGCACGCAGGGCCACAGCCTCAGCCTCTTGCCGCTGCCGCAGCACCTACGCAGACGCCAGAAAGTCCCTGATTCCCCCGGGCTCCAGCGTGTGCGTCTGAAGCTTGGGGAGGACGAAGCCGTGCCCACTCACGGGGCAGGACAACTGTGAGGCCCACACCAGGGAGCTGTCACCTAAGGCCAGACAGCTCTCCTCTCTGGGCCTCAGTTTCTCCATCTCTATAATAGGGGTATCATGCTTCATTCCCTGGCCCTGTGGGTTGTGGGGGGTTCCTCCTCCCAGGAGGCTGCACCTGGATTTGGGATGAGGCTGTGATGGGTGGGCCTCAGCATCCTGGGGACGGAAGGGGCCCGCCCTGGCCCTCACCTCCTGCAGCTGCTGCAGCTGGCCCTCCGCCTCAGCCCGCTGCAGCGCCAGGTCTTCCACCTCACCCCGCGTCGTCTGCACCTGCTCGCTCAGGGCGGTGCTCTGTTTCCGGGCCTCGGACAGTGCCTGCCGAGCGGCCTCCAGCCGTTCCTGGAGGACAGGGATTGATGGTGCCAGGCTGGGACACGGCCTCTACTCTCTGTCTCATGCGAGCTTCAAAGCCCATCAGACAGGTAATCACCTCACCTGAAGATGACAGACAGCAGGCCTGGCCCGCTGACCTATGCAGTTCCCCCCATTAACCTTGCACCTGGTCCCTCCAAGCCTGTACTAACTAGTAGGCTATTCTCTCAGCACTCCCTCCAGAGCCTCCTCTTACTGGCTGATGCTCTTATTAAGCCCACCCCTCCCTCTCACTGACTGGCTCCTTAGGGTTTCCAACTGGCTGCCCCATTGGCTAACTCTCCCTGGGTCCGCCCCCAGCCAGACCCAGCAATCCCCTATACCTGGAGTACTTGGCGGTCATGTTCACAGGCCTTCAGGGCCTTCTGCAGTTGCAGATTCTTGTCCTGGGTGCTTGTGAGGGTGGCACTGTTCTGGGCCAGAGTCTCCGTCAGACCCTGCACCTTGTCCCGCAGGACCCCCTCACTCTCCTCCATCTTGGCCAGGGCCCCACTCAGCCGCTCCACGGTCAGCTGCAACGTCCCCGCCTTGGCCTCACTGTCTGCCACCTGGCAGGAGAGACGGGGCGGTGAAGTGGCTTGGCTCTCACTGTGGCCTCCAGAGGAAAGGTCCGACCCAACCCAAGCCAGCCCCTTTCCGCCTCCCTCTGGGCCTTCATCACTGACACTCGCTCCCACTGATCCCACTGGCTCTGCCTACCGCCACCTACGCCCCACCCCACCGCTGGCTAATGATCCTCCCCCAGAGTGCCATCAGCCTGGTTGTCTCAGACCACCTGTTCTTGACTTTGGCGCATGATTATGCACGACTAGCAGAATTACTGAACCATCCAGTTAGAGATGAGCTTCCTAGCAGCCAAGGCAAA